ATTTCTAAGCCTTAAAATGTTGCAATAAATTTCTGAAAAAGATCAGAGGCTTTTTTGACCAGTTAATAGATTGTCTTATAACTTTTAGTTATAAAGAGCTATGATAAGGCTGAGTGTAGTGGCTCATGCCTGTAATCCCAGCACTTTGGGAGACTGAGGTGGGCGGATCATGAGGTCAGGAGTTTGAGACCAGCCTGGCAACATAGTGAAACCCCATCTCTACTAAAAATGCAAAATAATTAGCCAGGCATGGTGGCAGGTGCCTGTAATCCCAGCTACTTGGGAGGCTGAGATAGGAGAATTGCTTGAACCCAGCAGGTAGAGATTGCAGTGAGCCAAGATCGCGCCATTGCACTGCAACCCGTGCAAGACTCTGTCTCAAAAAAAAAAAAAAAAAAAAAAAAGAGCTACAATACATGCAGTGATATTATTGAGGCTGTTTTATCACAAAATATGAATTTAGACATTTACAGCAGAAATAATAATTAACAATAATAGGAATAGCAAACATTTATCGAGGACTTTGTGTAGACCTTGCAGATTCTAAAATGTGTATTAAACAGTGATAGCTTGATTGAGAATCTGTTGGGAAGGATATTTCTTAATGAGAAGTCTACCTTCACAGTGTTAAAAGAAAAAATTTTAAAAGACAAAGGCTTACGAGGTGCTTATTATACAAGGCCTCATTTAATCTCATCACATGGGTATGGTCAATATTCCAGATTTACAGCTGCAAAAACTGTGTCAGAGTCAGAGCCCGAGGCAAGGTTTATATGACTCTGAAGTCCATGCTGGACCTCTGGGAGTGTACCAAACAAAAGTAGGAGGTGCCACTGTGATGCCAGTTGCTGCTATCAGGTGGGCCAGGGACAAAATATTAAATAACATTGATTCTCTAGTGCAAAAGTTGAACCCTTTCAATTCTGTTTCAGTCTTACTGATTATGGGAAGAGAAAGTCAGTTTGGTACCTCTGTCTAAGTACATGTTAATCTCCCTTTCCAATAAAAAGAACTGTATTGAACTAGAATTTAATTACATTGTTTTCTTTTTAATGCACTTACTTCTTTAGAGACAGGGCCTCGCTCTGTCACTCAGGCTGGAGTGCAGTAGTTGCATCATACTTCACTGCAGCCTGGACACTTTTGGGCTCAAGCAGTCCTCCCTCTTTGGCTTCCTGAAGTGTTGGGATTATAGGTGTGAGCCATGACGCCTGGCCTTAATGCATTTATTTTTACAGCTACTGTCTATTTGTGCCATATAAGGGCTTCCCCCCCCCCACTTACAGTAATAGTGAAATAGTTCTAGTAAAATTTTGTTTTGTTTTGTTTTTTTGAGACAGAGTGTCACTCTTTCACCCAGGCTGGAGTGCAGTGGTGCGATCGTGGCTCACTGCAACCTCTGCCTCCTGGGTTCAAGCAATGCTCCTGCCTCATCCTGAGTAGCTGGGACTACAGGCATGTGCCACCACATCTGGCTATTTTTTTTTTTGTTTGTATTTTTAGTAGACAAAGGGTTTCATCATATTGGCCCGGCTGCTCTCGAACTTCTGACCTCATGACCCGCACGCCTCGGCCTCCCAAAGTGTTGAGGTTACAGGTGTGAGCCACCGCGCCTGGCTGGCATAAAATTTTTTTGAGTTGAATTGTTTTAAAGAAAAATACACCAGGCGTGGTGGATACCACTTTGGGAGGTTGATGCAGGAGGATCAGTTGAGGCTAGGAGTTCAAGATCAGGCTGGGAAACGTAGTGAGACCTTTTCTTTAAAAAAAAACTCAGCCAGGCACAGTGGCACATACCTGTAGTCTCAGCTGTTCGAGAGACAGGCAGGAGGATTGCATGATCCCAGGAGTTTGAGGCTGCAGTGAGCAATGATAACACCACTGCACTCCAGCCTGAGTGACAGAGCGATACCCTGTCTCAAAAAAAAAAATAAAAAAATAAAAACACATGTCCTATTTTTCTGTGTTTTCTATCCACTCAAATAACTCTTTTTTCATTTAGCTTTCTGCATTCTGTTCTTAATTTCTTCCTCCTGCAAAAACTGAGAATTTTTTTTTTTATCAGCAATTGTGAAACAGAGTATGGAGAGGACTATTTTTTAATTTAAATTTTAAATTACAAAATAACTTTATAGTAATTTTGATTAGAGAAGCAGTTTTGCCATAATATGAGTATTATTTTCTTTCTTTCTTTTTTTTTTTTTGAGACAAAGGCTTGCTCTGTCACTCAGGCTGGAGTGCAGTGGCACCATCTTGGCTCACTGCAACCTCTGCCTCCCGGGCTCAAGCACTTCCCTCTCTCAGCCTCCCGAGTAGCTGGGATTATAGGTGCCTGCCACCACACCCAGCTAATTTTTGTATTTTTAGTAGATATAGGGTTTCACCGTCTTGGCCAGGCTGGTCTTAAACTCCTGACCTCATGATACACCTGCCTCAGCCTCCCAAAGTGCTGGGATTACAGGTGTGAGCCACCACATCTGGCCATAATATGGGTATTCTAAGACAGCTGCCATGTTGATTTTCTTTCCTCTTTTCCCTTGTGTGCATTCATTTTAATAATAATGATTAACATTGGTTGAGTATTTGTTTCTAGGCACTGTTCTAAGCATTTTGCATCTAATAACTTCTTTAATCTTCTCAACCACTCTGCAATATAATGTTATCCCTATTTTACAGATGAGGAAACTGAAGCACAGTGGATTTAAGAAACTGACTGTAAGGACTTGAATCCAGGGAATTGGTCTTCTGAGCTTGGACCGTCAATCTCTATACTATGCTGTCTCCCATATTTAGCAGTGTTTTATTCACATTGCTATTATTATGGTCTATAATTAATTTTCTTCCTTTTTTCACTTAACATAAACATTTTCCTCTTGCTATATAGTTTTTGGATTCTTAAAAAGAATCAACTTTATTTTGGTATAATTTATATTCAATAAAATGCACCCATTTAAAGTGTTCAATTGATAAACTTTGATGAATATCTGTACCTGTGTAACCACCACTATAATTTGGATATAGAACATTTCCATCATTCCAGAGTCTCCTTGTGCTCCTTTCCATGTATAGTATTTCCTCCCAAAATCTCCTCCAGCTAAATGAGCTGCCTTCTATCCTCATTCTAATTTTCTTTTTACTTTCTTTTGACCTATGAGTTATTTTTATATGTGTTATTATGTAATGTAATGTAATGTCACTCTCTATTCATAGTAGTAGTCCTTATTCTGCAGTCTGCTATTTTTCTGAATAATATAGGCCCCCTAGTTTAGTTTTAAATAGTGTTTGCACAGTATATATTTTTCCAAACTTTTGTTTCATCTATCTCTTTATATTTAGAGTAGATTTCTTCTAGGCAGCATGTAGTGGGGCCTTGCTTTTTAAATATTATCTCATAATCTTATCTCAGCACTACATGCTGCCTAGAAGAAATCTACTCTAAATATAAAGAGATAGATGAAACAAAAGTTTGGAAAAATATATACTGTGCAAACACTATTTAAAAGTAAACTAGGGGGCCTATATTATTAAATTAAAACCTGTCTTATGAGATAAGATTTAAAAAGTGGGGAGGGATTGTGAGATAAGATTTAAAAAGCAAGACCCCATTACATGCTGCCTAGGAGAAATAATCTAGTTTAATCGTTGACGTCATGGGATTTCAATCTGCCATCTTGCTATTTGTTTTCTATTTGTCCCATCTGTTTATTTTTCTCTCTTTTTCAGCATGCTTTTATACTAATTGATTATTTTGAATGGTGCCAGTTGGTCTATCCTATTGGCTTATCAGTTATGTTTCTTCTTAAAATTTGTATTAGTTGCTATAGGGTTTACACTCTTTTAACATTTGTGATTGCACAAGCCTCCTGGCAGTCAATTTACTCAGTTTTGTTTGTCTGAAAAAGTCTTCAGTTTTCCTTCATTTTTATAGACATTTCACCTGATACATAATTGTGTGTTGACCATTTTTCTTCCCCAGTCAGTACTTTAAAGAGTTCACTTGGCTGGGTGCAGTGGCTCACACCTATAATCTCAACACTTTGGAGACTGAGGTGGGAGGATTGCTTGAAGCCAAGAGTCTGAGACTAGCCTGGGCAACAAAGTGAGACCCTGTCTCTATAAAAAAATAAAAATAAAAATATATTTTAAAAAAAGGAATTACTCAATTATCTTTTGTTTCTCTATATGATGTGTCTAGGTGTTTTATTATTTTTTTTAATTTTTCTCTTTTTTTTGTATTTATGCTGCTTGGGTTTATATGAGTTTCTTGGATTTGCGGTTTGATGTCTTTCATTATTTTGGAACATTCTAGCTATTCCCTTCCCTCCCCCCAGCTATGTCTTCTGCCTCATTACCTCACTCTTTTCTCATTCTAGTACTTCAATTTTATCTACTTGGAATAGATGAAATTGTTGCCATAGTTCTTGGGTGCTTGGTGGTTTTTTTCCTCTCTCTTCGTTTTCCTCTTTGTGTTTTAGTTTGGATTTCTGTTGTCCCATCTTCACATTTTCTGATTCTTTCCTCTGCTGTGTTTAGTCTTCTAAAAAGACTGATGAAGGAATTCATCTCTGATTCCATGTTTTTTCTTTCTAATGTTTTCATTTGATTCTTTCTTACGGTTTTCATCTCTTTGCTGAAACTTTACATCTATTTATGCATGTTTTACATATTTTCCATTAGCCTTCTTTCTTTCTTTCTTTCTTTTTTTTTGAGATGGAGTTTTATTCTTGTTTCCCAGGCTGGAGTGCAATGGTGTGATCTTGGCTCACTGCAACCTCCGATTCCTGGGTTCAAGTGATTCTCCTGCATCAACCTCCTGAGTAGCTGGGCTTATAGGCATGTGCTACCTCCCCTCGCTAATTTTGTATATTTAGTAGACATAGGGTTTCACGATGTTGGTCAGGTTGGTCTTGAACTCCAGACCTCAGGTGATCCACCTGCCTCGGCCTCCCAAAGTGCTGGGATTACAGGCATAAGCCACCATACCTGGCCCTCCGCTAGTTTTTTTTAACCAATTCCTCATAGCTATTTAAAACTTATCCGAAGTTTCCAACATTTGACTCATCTCTTAGTGTAGTTCTGTTGATATATCTATTGATAATGGACTGGTGGTAAATAAAATAGGAATGACCTTTGATCACTGGGAAATAGGAGAAGGTAGAATCTGCAAGGGCGAGTAATCTATCTTGAGCTTCCTGCATGACTGGTGATATGTCTATTAATAAAACCCCCCTGCTATCTATTCTGCCATCTTTCAGAACTTTTTTTTTTTTTTGGTAAAATGGTATGAGATTATTGTCTAAATTACTCTTTTCTAAATTGCCACCTATTTATTACAGTACTGCTTATTGGATAGGTGTTTCTCACCCACCAATTTTATAGTGTCTGCATGACCCAGGGTCTTATCTTTATACTATGGTGGCAGCATACTATATGTGTTCTGGAGTCAGGCTGACCCGTGTTTCAATCCTGGCTCTCCACTTCCTAGCTAACTGACTTTGGATTTGCTGTTTATCCTGTCTGCACTTGTGCTTCTTCATGCATAAAATAGGGTGGTAATCCTAGTTATCATAGGATTGTGAGGACAATTCCATGCAAAGGGTTAACACGTTTTAAAAAGGTGCTGCATTATTATATTATTGTCAGGTAATCTTGATGAAAAATTGTTCTATAATGTGATATGTTTTTTTCCACAAGTGAAAGCAATAAACATAACCAAAGAAAAGCAGTATTTGGCATGGAAATGAGTCATATCAAGAAAAAGCTCATTAAACTAGGTTACCATATTTTTTTTTCTGAGCTCTTGCAAGCATAGCTATGACTTTGTTGGAGGGTGTATGTTAGCTCTGTGGAATTAAATTCATGGAGGTGAGTGAAATGTTGTATGAGCCTGCACAACTTAAGATTTAAAAAAAATTCCCTGAATTCTACCAGGTTCTTAGATCCAGGTTTCCTTGCCTTTCAGCTGCCAGCTGCTTTCAGTCCAGGGCCTTTGTTCCTCATGTCCTCACTTCATCTTCATACCTGCCTTCATTCTTGCTTCTGGTCACAGTCATGGGGCTTCCTTGGTTTGTTCTGCTCTTACAGACATTAGGCTCCTTTTCGGGGTTTGTTTTCTTTTTCACACTATCAGCAAGTGCCCTTGCCTAACTCCCAAATGTATAGGGGACAGAAGTAGCAGCTGGCCGCAGGGACACTGAGAAGGTAGAATGGGAGGCTTGGGAAAGAAGGGGAGGCCTCTGGCCTGTGCCCACTCGCCTTCTGGTTCTCAGTTCTTCAGCAAAAGCTTTGGAAGAAGAGGGGAGGCACGCACTGCCTGTAACCTAAAATGAATGTTTTTTCTTTTTCAGTCCTAACTTAAACTGGATTGTTTTTCAACTCTGGCCTGTCCCTTGGTTGGCATCTCTCACATTCCAATACCGATAAGAAACAGTTTTCAAGAAATATTTCCATGTGTCCATAGCAAACATAATTGGGAGGAAGACATAGAAGCGGTGGAGGTCGGTGGCTGTTCCAGGATGAAAATTGTTACATTTTATGCGTAGGGCTGTCCCTAAGCAAACAGAAATGAGCCAGAAGACAAATGAGAATATAAAAAGGTATACCCAATTTTTTCAAAAGCCCCAGATACCCATTCAGCCTTACATTTGTTCGACTCTGAATGATTTTCAACAAGAGAGAGACTTCTTGGCAAAAAACATCTTCCCTCAGCTTAATGAACTCTGCAATTCCTGGGGCACATATTTCAAAGCCGTGGACCTGAGTTGGTCAGCATTGAAGTCTCCGAAATCCTTACCCACCCACCTATTTAGACAGTATTCTTGTCTTCACTCCCAACAGCTGATGCTCTGTCTGGACTATGTGAACAGCTGCTTTCCCTTTTTCATCTGCTTGCTGGGTCAGACATACGGAGACTTCCTCCCTGACTACTCACATTTCATGACCTCCAAAGTGACTCACTTGTCAAACTTATCCAAAGTAGAACAGAATCTCTATGTTGCTGCAAAAAATGGTTATCCTTGGGTTCTGGAGAATCCCAACTGCAGTCTGACGGAGTTTGAGATAATCCAAGCAGCATTTCTGAATGAACCTCAATTTCAGTATTTTTACATTAGGACTGGAGCCACCCTGCTGAAGGGTTTAGATGATGAGGAAAAGGAAGAGAGGCTGCCCTCGAGTTCATTAATGAATGAAGAGGAGAAATTGAGGATTGGAAAGCTTAAGGCCAAGATTATTAGTAAAGGGCTCCCTGTGAGATTTTACAGTGATCTCCACCAGTTGGGTGAGCTGGTTTTCAAGGACTGGTCAGTTGTGATAGAAAAGCTTCATCCAGCCACTGTAATGATTGAAAATATAGATTAGCAAAGTGTAGAGATAACTAAGTCCGTTATCAACATAAAGGTAATATTTTTGTAGTTCTTCCTTGTGAAAGGAATTTTTAAATGATTGCAAATATTCCTTAAACATTTAAAAATTATTATTATGTTCTTGTGACATGTATTTCTCCACTTTGAAGATTTTTGCAACTGAAGATAAGAGCAAGTAATGAGTCAGTCATGGAAGATTTTTTAGGGAGTTAAGGAAGTCAGAGGAGACCCAAAATATCTGCAGTTAATAAGTGAGTCTAGAGCAATCGTTCTCAAACACAGCTAATTTTGCTCCCTCAAGGGACATTTGGCCATGTCTGAAAACATTTTTGGTTGTCACAATTGGGGGAGAGGTACTGGCATCTAGTGGGGAAAGGCCAGGGATACTGACAAGCATCCTACAGTGCACAGGACAGCCCCATAATAAAGAATTACCCAACCAAAAATGTCAATAGTGATGAGGTGGAGAAATCCTCAGCTAAGAGGAAGAGAATCAACTTTTATTAATTTTTTGGTGCTTTGGTTATTTTATTACATTTAATCTTCAAGGTTTAACCCTGCAAGTAAGTATTATATTATAATTCCGATTCTGCAGATGAGCAAAAGAGAGCTGCTGTGTAGCAGTGAAGTGGCTTAGTAATGCCACAAAACTAGTGAGGGACCAATCCCGGATTTGAAACCAGTTCCCTCTTACTCTAAAATCTGTGCCTGCTCTCTTTCACCTTTTTAATTTAATTGTGATTCATGGATTGACAGCCTCAGCATCACCTGGGAGCTTGTTAGAAAATAGAATCTTGAGCCCCATTTCAGGTCAACTGAATTAAAATTTGCATTTTAAAAGATGACCAGGAGCTCTACATGTACGTTAAAGTTTGAGAATCGTTGCCTGATCATATTGCCTCTAAATGAAATGATTACCATTATTTTGGGAAATAATGTCCTGTGGACATGTACCAGATTAAAAAGGGAAGAGTCTGTCACCTAGACAGACTTCAGGAGGGATCTGTGATGATTCTATGAAAAATAGAATATATGAAAGTAATATGAAATTGTATGAAAAGTAGAATGTGTATATGCCTGTGTGTGTCTTGGGGATAACAAGATGGCCTGTGTCCTTGATCATATTCTCAGAAGGCTAGCGACCCAAAAAAGGTTATGAATTCCGGATGAAAGGGCCCAGTTAACATAAGGATGCAAAATGCTGGCAGGTGGTGCATTCTCAAATGCTTTCAGGGACCAGGCACACAGTAGTCCCTGTAACGTGATAGGGAGCAGATGGATCTGTACTGAACAGGAGAATCATTTGAATTCAGTGTGGGTGGTGGTGGTGAAGACAAACCTCTGCAGGCTAGACAAAACTCTGCCTAGAAGCCAAATCATCTGGGCCTGGAAAAAGAACATTGTATCAGTCTCAACTCTTTTGGTTGCAAGTGACTCAAACCGATTTCAACAAAAAGGGAATTTATTAGCTTATATAACTACAAAGCCCGAGATTAAGTCTGATTCAGCTCAAGCTTCATTCATTTGCTCAAATGATGTTACCAGATCCTTTTCTCTGACTACTCAACCTGGCCCTGCTGTCCTGATGTTAGCTTATCGCCTTGGCTCCTCTATTGTGAAGGCAGAGGAAGATGGGCCATAGCAGCTCCAGGTTCAAGTCCAGCAGAAATGGCTCAAAGTCCTAGCATTCCTAACACTGAGTCTTTCTGGCTCTGATTAGTCTGACCTGGGCCATATGCTTGCATCTGATTCAATCACTGGTGCCGAGGGAATGTGATGCTCTGATTGGCTAGTTGGACCTGGAAGTGGAGTTAGACTCATTGGAATTGTATGAACTGAGATTTGGGTTGGGTAGATCCCCAGTGATAATCTAGGGCTGTTACTGAAACTAGGGGAGGGTGGTTGGATGTTGAGCAGCCAGAAAGAACCCACATATTTATAACAGGCTTAGGGTTTTAGAATCCAACAGACATGTCCTTCAGTATTGTGTTTTTCAGCTCCTAGCTATGTGACCTTGAATGCGTTACTTAGCATTGGTAAACCATAGTTTTTTCTTCTGTAAAATGGGTTAACAGCCACTTTGAGAGTAATTATCTAAACCACTAAAAACAGCACCGGGCACATATCAGGCACAGAGTTAATAACTAGTGAGGATGAATAACAAGTGGGTTCTAGAGGAATATATACATTTGGTTAAAGTCAGAAACATGATTAACATTAATATTCTTTTAGTCATATCAACCCGAACTGCCTCTGTTGATTAATATCCACTAATGTGTTCAAGAATGTAGCCTTTCTGTGTTTTGGGGTTAAGGTCATATTATTGCTCTGTAACATTCTTAGTCTTTGATTTTGGATATCACTGAAAGGTTAGCTTGTTTTAGACTTTATTCTTGAATGTATATATGTGGTCTAAATGTCTGAATTAGAAGGCATGGCATGGATGGATTATTTAAAAAATAATCCTTCCTTCCATTAGAAAGAAGTCCTAAATTCATTCTTTTTTGGATCTTCAGTGCTCTTGAATCACCTAGGTAGCTCCAAACTCTCCTAGTCCGCAGTTAGGGTAGTGATAGGCCATTTGGGCAGCTGGTAGTTATTGTAAGACAATATGGAACTATCAGTTTACACTCTTGACCCATAGAAGTACTTCCGAGGTCCTTGGAGATCTCTGAGACTAGTGCACGAGGTTCAGGTTTAGTGCAAGAGGACTTAGACTGTGTGGTCATCCAAATTCTGTTTAAGATCTTGAAACTCAAAGCTGACCTTGGCCAGCCTGTGGATCCTCCAGGTCTGTTCTGGTCCTGTCTGAGCCATGAGGCAGCCCAGTTAACTATGAAGGTACCATGTAAGTATTTTGGGAACCAGTCAGAGTAGACTCTCTGGTGTTTCTTTTCCTGCATGTGTTGATAACAGCCTTCACTCCTTAAAAAAAAGAAAAAGAAAAAGAAAAAACATAGGGAACCTGGGTGTCTCCAGAGACAGGAGGGCATTTTGGGAGCCCAGAACACCCTGACTTAAATTAGGCAATGAATTTAGAATTGCAGTAAATTGAAACTGGAAGAAACTTCAGAAATCACCCATTGTCTGGCCCTTCACCCTTATTTTACCAAAGAGTTTTCAAAACTTGCCCAATGGCAGAGCTGCCATGGCTGTAATCCTTATTAGGGCATTTGCCCTAAAAATATACCCCACTCTCTTAACCTTTGTCATAGATTGGCATACATACATACCTGCAAGACTGAATTAGATAACTTCCTTCTTAGCTAACTGTTTGAAAAAATGATTTGCATTGTATAGTAAGCCTATTTTTTTTTTGCCCTTGTCATTCTGAGGTCATGAAATAACTTGGAATCCTAAGTAGGATTCTATGTACAAAAGCAGAAGAAAAATTCAATTGTTTTCCTGTAGTTTTCTTTCATTAGTATATTTAATGGACTGTGAAATATGGAGCCAAATAGAAGGTGATATAGATACGGAGATACCTTTCTGGGCATTCATAATAACATGTGCAATCGAAAAGGTGAAACTACAAATCTAAGTTATTAAAACGTATCTTTTTGACTATCAAGATTACAAGCACAACTTTGAATGTTTCTATCATGAAGAATTTTCTGAGAAGTGTGAGCAAATGTTTGTTATTTCCAAGGAGTCCAACAGGACCTTTGAAATCTTGGAAAATTTTGCCTTGAAGGATGTGGAACTTGATTTTAATAGTACTGCAGCAGGTTCCAATTTAGATGTTGTCCCCAGGTAAGATGTCAAGAAATCCCAAGCTCAGGCAGAACAGCCTGACTTTGGTAAACGCAATCCCCCACACTTGAAATGCCTTTTCTAACTTTCCCCATTCTATGCTCATCCCTTCCTGCAAGAGAGACCCCCTAAAAGCCACCCCAGGGTTAGAATTTTCTTATCAGATATCACTCTGCATTTTGCAAAGCTTTTCTGGTATTTCACATAGTTTCTTCCAGTGTCCTCAAGAAGATTAGACACTTCCAGAGTTCAGGGAACCACCTTCTTTTTTCTTCCATACGTCGAAGGTTGTCTAAGTAATTTTTGAGAATGATGGAGTGACTTTAAAGATAAAAAATTAGATGAGGAAATATGAATAATGTATCTGCATAATATTGTGTAATTTACAAAGAGTTTTCACATGTATTAGCTCATTATTAATTACATTCAGATATTCAGCTAGCACTTATGAAAATGATATGGACCATATTATTATTGTGTTTGTGTATAAAGAATCAGGTTATCTTGAGCTGGGCATGGTGGTGTATGCCTGTAATCCCAATTACTCAGGAGGCTGAGGCAGGAGGATCCCTTGAGCCTGAGTTTGAGCCCATCCTGGGTAACATGGCAGGTCTCCATCTCTAAAGAAAAAAACAGGTTATCTTACCCAATATATACACTCCTTCATTGTTTTATCCAGTGTCCTCTACAATAAAACCTCCATCTTTCTCACCCTGGGTGGTGAAATACTGTGTTCACCACCATTAGGAGGCTGAGGCCAGCAGTGAGAGAGCTGGGGTTATCCATGGTATCCCTGCTAGTCTCATCTCTGGAAACGGGAGGTTCTTAGGATTGCGTTATTTCTTCCATTCTCATTTTCCAGCTCTTATCATGTATCTTGTGTCCTGTGAGAGATTTGTGCTTTGAAATAAAACTGCAGTGCTGGGATGGCTAAGGGCTGTTTTTCACCATTGCTGCCCTGGGTTCAGAACCTACTGGTCTAGTTCACTCAGGTGTAGGGCTACCAACATTCTTGTGGCTCTGGGAACCCATGCCAAGAGGAAGACAATTTGTTCAGTTAATACAACATGGTGCTCTGTCAGTATTTTCAGACTACAGGAGAAATATGTAGGTCATATGTTAAGAATGTTGGGTTTCAAGTAGACAAATTCACAGAGACAGAAAGTTGATTAGTGGCTGTTGGGGGAAGAGAGTAGTGAAAGAAATGGAGAATGATTCTTAGTGGGTACAGAGTTTCTCTTTGGGGATGCTGAAATGTTCTGGAATTAGATAGCCGTCATGTTTGTACAACCTTGTGAATGTAATGAAACCCATGGAAGGGTACACTTTAAAATGGTGAATTTTGTAGCCTATGAGTTGTTTCTCACTTAGGTTATAATGTTCAGTGTTTCAGAGTGGATGATAAATGTAATAAATTTTATTGCAGTTGAACAACTCAAATTATTGTGCTCAATACAAATACAACAATTAAATAAGTTCTTTTACATTACATACATGAAAACATTCAGGGCTTTGTTTGCTTTGCTGTTTGGAAACAATGCTCTGTACCTGAAGTTCCTGAATAGTGTGTCTAGGTCAACAGAAAAGGAATGTTCCTGTTTTTTTTTAATCTTTTTTTAAAATGGGTATTAAAAACCTCTTTTATGCCAATAATTGTGCTTAACAATGGAGACAGGAAGGAATAAGGGAGGAAAATAACAAACAAGCGGCCAACCAATATTTCATTTAAACCTGTGAAATGCTATGCAATTACTGAGGAGTGATTTACTTCCAATTATGTAGTCAGTTTTAGAGTAGGTGTGATGTGGTACTGAGAAGAATGTATGCTTTGTGGATTTGGGGTGGAGAGTTCTGTAAATGTTTATTTAGTTTACTTATTCCAGGTCTGAGTTCAAGTCCTGGATATCCTTGTTAATTTTCTGTCTCGTTGTTCTAATATTGACAATGTGATGTTAAAGTCTCCCACTATTATTGTGTGGGAGTCTAAGTCTCTTTATAAGTCATTAAGAACTTGCCTTATGTATCTGGATGCTCCTGTATTGGGTGCATATATATTTAGGATCGTTAGCTCTTCTTATTGCATTGATCCTTTTACCATTATGTAATGTCCTTCTTTGCCTCTTTTGATCTTTGTTGCTTTAAAGTCTATTTTATCAGAGGCGAGAATTGCAACTTCTACTTTTTATTTTTTATTTTTATTTTTTTGCTCTCTATTTGGTTGGTAAATCTTCCTCCATCCCTTTGTTTTGAGTCTTTGTGTATCCTTGCATGTGAGATGGGTCTGGATGCAGCATACCAATGGGTTTTGGCTTTTTATCCAATTTGCCTGTCTGTGTCTTTTGATTGGGGCATTTAGTCGATTTAAATTTAGGATTAATATTAATATATGTGAGTTTAATACTGCCATTTAATGCTAGCTGGCTGTTTTGCCCATTAGTTGATATAGATTCTTCATTATGGTGATGCTCTTTACCTTTTGGTATATTTTTGGATGGCTGATACTGGTTTTTGCTTTCTATGTGTAGAGCCTCTTTCGGATGCTCTTGTAAAGCGGGCCTGGTGATGATGAAATCTCTGAGTACTTGCTTGTTCACGAAAGATTTTATTTTTCCTTCACTTATGAAGCTTAGTTTGGCTGGATATGAAATTCTGGGTTGGAAGTTCTTTTCTTTGAGGATGTTGAATATTGCCCCCCACTCTCTTCTGGCTTGTAGGGTTTCTGCTGAGAGATCTGCTGTGAGTCTGATAGCTTTCCCTTTGTGGGTAACCTGACCTTTCTCTCTGGCTGCCATTAGCATTTTCTCCTTCATTTCAACCCTGGTGAATATGACGATTATGTGCCTTGGGGTTGCCCTTCTTGAGGAATATCTTTGTGGTGTTCTCTGTATTACCTGGAGTTGAATATTGTCCTGCCTTGCTAGGTTGGGAAAGTTTTCCTGAATAATATCCTGAAGAATATTTTCCAGCTTGGATTCATTCTCTTCATCACATTCAGGTACACCTATCAAATGTAGATTAGGTCTTTTCACATAGTCCCATATTTCTTGGAGACTTCGCTCATTCCTTTTTACCCTTTTTTCTCTAATCTTGTCTTCTTGTTTTATTTCATTGAGTTGGTCTTCAACCTCTGATATCCTTTCTTCTGCTTGGTCAATTTGACTGTTAAAACTTGTGTATACTTCGCGAAGTTCTCGTATTGTGTTTTTCAGCTTCATTAATTCACTTATATTCCTCTGTAAATTGTCTATTCTCATTAGCATTTTGTCAAACCTTTTTTCAAGGTTCTTATTTTCTTTGCATTGGGTTAGAACATGTTCTTTTAGCTCACAGAAGTTTCTTATTATCCACCTTCTGAAGCCTGATTCTGACAATTCATCACACTCACTCTCCAGCAGGCCTTGTTCCCTTGCTGATGAGGAGCTGCGATCCTCTGAAGGAGGAGAGGCATTCTGATTTCGGATGTTTTCAGGCTTTTTGCGCTGGTTTCTTCCCATCTTTGTGGATTTATCCACCTGTAGTCTTCGTGATTGCTGACTTTCAGATTGGGTCTCTGAGTGGACGTCTAGCTTGTTGGTGATGATGTTATTTCTGTTTCTTTGTTTTCCTTTGGCGGATGCCCCTCTCCCACAGAGCTGGCCCTTCCCAGGTTCAGCTGTGCTTGCTGTGAAACTCCCAACGGTCAGCGTTTCCATTTACTGTTTTTTTGTGGGGGTGGGACCAGCTGAGTCCGATCACCTGGCTCCCCGCCTCGGAGTCCCTTTTTTTCTTTTCCAAATTGAACGGTCGATTCTCTCCCAGGTGCCCAGTCGCCTGCCAAAAAGGCACCGGGATCTATGCAATTTCCCTTGGGGGCGACCGGGCCGGCTGAAACAGCTGCGCTGAGATTCGTGGTGCTTTTCTGCCCGGGAATCTCCCGGTCTGGCTCCTCGCTTCAGTCCCCCCTTCAATCAGCTGAATGGGTGACTCTGCCTTCCCAGAGCTCCAAACGCTAACTAAAAGGGCACTCAGTCCCGCATACTCCGCACTGAGAACTGCCGTGCCCGGACGCCAGCTAAACAGCCACGCCGGCGACCCGTGGGGCTCCTCCACTGGGAATCTCCTGGTCCGTGGGCAACAAAAATTTGTCTGCAAGTCTGGTGTCCACTCACTCCCTGCAGCCCGGAGCTGCAATCCTGGGCTGCTGCTAAACGGCCATCTTTTT